GCCCCTGCCCGGGTGGGAGAGCAGGCAGTGGGTGCTGCTTTCAGGCACTCCTAGAGCCCCTGAAGCCCAATCCCGTCTTCACTTTATCGTTCCCCAGGATAAGGTTCACTAGAAAGTGCAGAAGTATTTGTGTGTTGTTTCTTGGGCTTTCTGTCAACCTAAGGTGAGAACTGAAGAAAGTCCTGTATTCCCACACCCGGAATGCAATCAGCTGAAATTCTTCTGCTATGATGATATCTCCTTAGCATGTAAATCACAGAGGACTCCCTTTTTTTTTTTTTTTCCACTGTGCAAAATCCTGCTCCGGCGAGTGTTCCCAAACCGCTCCGACACGCCCAGACCAACTAATCCAGGCGAGCTCAACTTTCTGGCCGAGCCAGTAAGGCTGGTACCGAGCAGCTCTCAGCAGATGTGCTTCCCGCTCTGCTCCCCATGGCTGCTGCCTCCTCCCGCCCAGGCAAAGCCGGCACCCGCGTCCCGCGGCGGTCAGGCAGGGAGAAAGCACCGCGTGTCCCCAGACTAAGGACACCGCTGGTTTTGGGATTGGAAAGGGCTCTTATGGGGGATGGAGCAGGGAAAAGGAGGAGACCATCCTGTCCTACCTGTTGCAGGTACCAGCATCCCTCGCTCCATGCTCAACCCCACGTGCTGTGCCAGCACAGGGCATGCTTTGGAGCAAGGAGGTGGTTTTTCCAGTGCTAGTCCTGCAAACCTCTTGCATTTTCCTCATCTCTGCTGGGGCAACTTCTGAGCTTCTGCTTCCCTGAGAAGGGTGGGTAATGCCGGAGCTGCCACATCGTCTTGTCGCAGTGTGGAGCGAGTTTGCCGATGGGTCGGTGCTAAACTGATCTCTTTAGCTCCGGGAGAGCTCCGTGCCACCCGGCACTGAGTGCAGGGTGCAGAGTGCTCTGCAGGGTGCGCAAAGGCACCCCATGGGTGGCTGCTGCTCTGTGCTGGGCTCTTCTCCAGAACAGCGGGGTTATTTCTCCCTATAGATACTGAGTTTGAATTTTGGGCATCCCTAGGGTTGAAAATTGAGCCCTCAACGATGGAAATATGAAACCAGAAGTTCCCCCGATGGCCCAAAAGAGCTGTGAGCCAGTCCTGTACTGGTTAGCTACTGCTTCGCTTGGCCGGGCTGGCAGGTGCATGCAGAGCCCAGCACAGAGAGCTCCCGACTGTAAGATACCTTCACCAAAATGCACCTTTTGCATTTGCCTTTGCAAATGTCACGCCTGCCTGGGACGTTTTACCTGCTGCTCCCTTCTGTGCACTGCCAGCCGGTCTCACCCCGCTCTCCGGAAGGGCCTCCGGGTCTCTCGGCGTGGAGCTCTTTGTCGGATGTGTCCGTGAGAGCGTGAGCTGTAGGAGACAGGGAGCAGAGATGCTGCCTTTGCCAGGCAGGAGGAAAGGGCCATCCCCAGCCCCTGCGCGATGCCCGTGACACCCGTGGGGACGAGCGTCGCAGAGGCGTTTCTGGACACCGGTGCTGTGTTGCAGGGGAGCCCAGACCCGCCTGTCCTTGGATCTGGGTGGAAACCCTGTGGGCACCGGAGGGGCGGTGGGGAAGGAGAGCCAGGGCTGAGAGGCTGTGGCTTTGCCACCTGTAAATATGACCCCTTTGGCTTCACGCACAGCAAAGCCGTCCTCCCACGGGACATTAACGTGGTCATAACGGTGCCAGCACCAGTGCCGGACACCCTGGGGAGGGGAAGGGGCCACGGCCGATGCCAACGTGAGCTGTACTCACCACAGCTGCATTCTCCTCCTCCTCTTCCTCCTCCTCCTCGACAGCACCAGGCGGTGCCCGGCTGGCATTGGGCCAGTGGCAGGGGAAGCGCAAGCTGTCCTCTGCCCCATGTCTCCCACAGGGGCCACGGGCTGCCAGCACAGCGGGAATCTCCCCGGGGCTTGGCCTCGGGCTGCTGGCCTCCCGTTTTTTGCCAGCCTGTTTCCCGGACACGGCCGGAGTCTGACAGATCCAGCGGCACGTCTGCACCATCGTCTCTTGCTGCCTTCGCCTTTTCTTGGAGCTCAGAGCTGTCCTGGCTTGGCCAAAGCTCCTTCTCTTCCTTCCCGTCTGCAGCATCCTCCGGGAAGGACCTTTCCTCCTTGCACCCCGGCGTGATGCTCGGCCATGGGGAGAGGGGCCGCTCCTCGGGCGCGAGCTTTGGGTCTCCATCTGCCCGCTGGCCTGGCTGGCACTGCTGCACGAGGAAATGCTGCAGCCGCTCCCTGTGCTTGAGGAGGTGCAGCTTCTCCTCCAGGTGCTGATCCCTCACGTACACCATGGCGGCAGGGAGCTTCAGCATCCCAGCCATCACGCGACCGTGTCCTGCCGTCGGCGTCTTTGCCTCTGAGCAGATGGCTGGAGAAGCTGCCGCCGTCCCGGTCGGCCGCGGCACAGCTGCTTGCCAGCCCCAGCTGGTGCAGGGAGAGGTGCTTGTGGAGGAGGCAGAGCTGCTCTCTCCGGGCAGTCAGTTTGAGGTTTTCATAGGATGGAGCAACCTTGGGGGAGTCCGTTTTGCTTGCTGCTAAATAACTGAAAGAAGCAGGACAAAAGAATCACGTTAACTAGAGAATTTCCTTGCGATTTCCCAGCTCCTGCGGGTGACGTGCGCGGTCTCTCCTGCTCCTTCTGTGCCCTGTTGCAGCTCTTGGCCCCAGCATCACGCTTGCCTTTGGGTGCAGCGCTGGGGAGGAGGGTCCCGGGGGTCAGGCAGCCGGCAGTGGGTCTCAGCGCTGCGCACACCGCAGGAAGCCGTCACCATCCCAGCACCTAACCACCCCCACTGGGCTCTCTTAGTGTCGTGGTGGGCCTGAAGACAGGACAGAGGAACAGCCCTCCCTCCCCTAATCTCGTTCAATGGGAGGTTTTTACAGCCATGCTAACTAAGATGGTGGGAACGGTGCATGAACCGGCCCTGCAAACCAAGTCGCTGCTATCGCTGGTGATATAGCAGCTTCCGTGCGTGCGAGCTTTTCCCGGGAACGCTCGGCAGATCTACTCCCACTCTGGGAAACTCGCTGTCTCTGCAGGTGGACTCACTGGCTTTGCTCAGCCCCCTGCGCTTCTGAAATCAATGGGGAGGACGAGCCCGGGGAAGTGCTGAGCCCTGCAGAAACGCCCAGTGGCACAGATCAGGAGGAGTAGGGATCGCTGCCTCCGTGAGGATCGCTGCCTCCGTGAGGATCGCTGCCTCCGTGAGGCCGGTCCTTCTCCCGGCTGCGGGTGGGGGCACCCGGTTCGCTTTGTGCTTCGCTTTATGGGTCCGACTGATGGAGTAAGGAGAGGCTGATCTCGTTGGGCTGGATTCCAGTCATTTTTTGCTGGTGTAAACTGGGAGACCCCCCGCCCCCCCCCAGGCTGTGGGAGAAGAAGGTGGCCAGGTACAGTGAATAGCGTCGATCTCATCGCAGTCTGCCCGGAGGGGCAGCTGCAGCGGGCCATGCATCAGGCCCACACCGCAACCCCGAGCAGGTAACTCACGCCTCAAGGCTGGGGCTGTGCTCGCGCTCCAGCAGGAGAGGAGTCTTCCTTGCCGGTGGGGACACTGCTGTCCCCGAAGGACTTTTTTCCAGGAGGCAGGGTCTGGAGCCGGGTCTCACCAGGGCAATGGTTCCGTGCAGCTGGTTGGCGATCCTCTGGGACGCCTGCGGCAGAGGGGAGAAAGTCCACATGAGCTGTTCTGCCGTGCACCCTGGGCAGCGTGGGGCCAAGGGGAGCCTCGCCGCGCGGAGACGCAGCTCTTCGCCAGTGTGAACAAGACAGAGAGCTCCTAAGTGATCTGTTTGATACAATTCCGGTCAACAGCTCAACCATATTTTTATTGGTTTTCCCAGGAAATTTCCCCTTCATATTTTCTAGCGGGATCTACAGTACTCTTTATTTTCTGGCTGCACTGATTTGTAGCCCAGGAGGTCTTGTGCCTCCTCTCAAGCCAAGCCATGATTTAGTGGCTTAACCACAATAAGACCCTACAAATTCCCTGACCCCTAGTCAGGCCACTAGACTTTTATTTGTGCAAGCTCCTGGCACGCACTGATTTGATGGGTGGATTGCCAGTGCAGTACCTGGCTGTGAGGCCAAGGACATCATCATCTCCATCTGCTGTCATGAAAATCTCACCACATGTTCTGACTTGACTTTCCTCTGCCCACCTGGAGATGTCACCAACCCTTCCTGCTATCCCTATTAATTATCCTCACAGCCTGCCTGCAGCCTTACCAAAACCCCTTTTCACCTGCTCTTTCAAGTTTTCTGTGGTGTTCAGGTAAGCGAAGCCTGTGCCAAAACAGAAGCATCTATGTGGGCGTGTATGTGGGCTTGAGTTCCCAAGCTTCAGGTCCTGCAGTCTCATCTCCCAGTGCCCAATATCACCATATCACTCAGCATCCCTCAGATGACACATACTCTTTGTGTTTTAAAGGCATGGTAGGCTTGCATTAATGCACAAAATGGCAACCACTGAATGCCAGGCCCTCTGAAAATACCAATATTCATTACGCTGCAGATGGAGACACATCTGCGATGCTCTTGGGCAGGGCTGCTGCGGTGTATTTGTTCTCAGTACCCACAACTCCCACAGTTTACATGTTCTCCAGGCTTTTCCAACACTCACAATGCTCCAGCTTCTTGCTCGCCCAGATAATGGAGAGCTGACTCTATAACTCAGGATAAGCTACACTGAAATGGAGCTCAGCACAATGTCCCCAGGTCCTTCACTCCCCAGAGCTTTCCCCAGCAAGACATCTGAGAGAGGAACCAGAGTGATGGGCAGAGGACGTGGGGACGCTAGACGTGTTGTCATGGAAGATAAACACAGGAGTAAAGATGTGCATGCTCGCAGCAGAGACAGGAGCCTGTGCCAAACTCAAATGCTTTGCTTGCAGTGAGTGGCAATTTCTGCAGAGAGGATGCGTCTGGCATTTGGTATGTGCCCTCCTTGGCTCTGGTAGCAGCAAACTGCCCAAGTCTGGCTGATTGTTTCACCCCCTAAGTGCCTCCTACCCTTTCCATATCCCAATCTACCTCTCTTGATCCGGTTCAGATGACCACAGTGGCGGGGAGAAGGCCTGAGGACATCAGGCTACCTCTGGCAACTCACCATTTCTGCGAGGCTGACTTCTTGGAGGACAGTGCCTGGGGAAGTTCTACTGCTTGGAGAGCTTCTCGGTCCTGCAGGCTTTTCTACAAAAAAGACACGACCAGCCACCATGACAGCCCCGCAGAGCTGCTGCAGGCTGCCCTGCCCTGCAGCGTGCTGGAGTCCCGCAGCCTCCCAAGGATGCCACTGCCTGGCACCAACCACCTCCTACTGAAGATTTCGAGCCAAAATTTCCCTCTGGCTCAAGCCAGCACCTAATTGAATGTACCCTCCATCGTACGTGTGGATGGCAGCAAGGCAACAACATGGTCTCTGCACGAAATGGGTGGCAGGTCCACACCTGCACAGCACTTGTCTTACAGTGAGGGCACCCAAGCACTCTTTTGCTCTAACGCAGAGCAGTGTGTTTCGCCCTTGACATGCATTTTTTCCCCCAGCAGCTATTCTGCCCATGGCAATGTCCATCTGAGCTGCCAACAACTTGGTCTTTGCTCTCCAGACCCTTTCCCAGAGCAGCTTTGCACCACAGCTCAGTCACTCTTCCCATCCCCAGGTCCCTCAAGGGTGGCAGGAGCCAGGAGCACCCACCTTCTCCCAGCTCGAGGCCTGGCACGTCATGGTGG